TGCATGGTGATTTAGAGGAGCAGATCGACATACGGCAGTTTGGAGGTTTCACCCAACCTGGAAAGGAGCATTTAGTTTGCAGATTGAAGAAATCTTTATACGGGTTGAAACAGTCTCCGAGACAGTGGTATAAAAGGTTTGACTCCTATATGATCAAGATTGGCTACAACCGATGTGAGTATGATTGTTGTGTCTAGGTTAAGAGCCTTGATGATGGTTCTTTTATTTTTCTGTTACTGTATGTTGATGATATGTTAATTGCTGCGAAGAACATGGATGATGTTATCGGTTTGAAAACTTTATTGAGTCTAAAATTTGATATGAAAGATTTAAGTGTTGCAAAGAAAATTCTTGGAATGGAAATTTACAGGTACAGAGACTCAAGGAAACTGTGGCTATCTCAACGGGGTTATGTTGAGAAAATGCTAGAAAGGTTTGCAATGAGCAGTGCAAAACCAGTGAGCACTCCATTGGTAAATCACTTTAAACTCTTATTAGAACAGTTCCCTAAGACATATAAGGAAGCTAAAGATATGACAAAGGTTCTGTATTCTAATGTTGTTGGCTGCTTGATGTATGCAATGGTATGTACTCGTCCTGATTTAGCTCATGTTGTTAGTCAAGTTTGTAAGTACATGTCTAAACCTGGTAAGCAATATTGGGAAGCAGTCAAGTGGATCTTTCGGTACTTAAAGGGTACTGTGGGACATGGAATTATTTTTTGTAGTCAGCGGGATAATCCTTTGGTTGTAGGATATGTGGATTCAGACATTTATTTTCGGTACTTAAAGACTATACAGGTGACTTGGATAATAGAAGATCTACGACATGGTATGTGTTTACTCTTGGTGGAGGACCTATTTGTTGGAAGTCTACTGTTCAATATGTTGTGGCACTATCTACAACTGAAGCTGAATACATGGCAGCGTCTGAAGCTGCAAAAGAAGCTTTATGGCTTACTGGTTTAGTGAAGGAGTTGGGTGTTCAGCAAGATGGAGTTTAGTTGCTTTGTGACAATCAAAGTGCTATTCACTTGGCTAAGAATCAAGTGTATTGTGCTAGAACTAAACATATTGATGTAAGGTTCAACAAGATCAGAGAGTTGGTTACATCTGGAGAGGTTTTGTTTCAAAAGGTACATATTGATGAGAATGTCGCTGATATGTTCACCAAGCCAGTTGCGATAGACAAGTTCAAGCATTGCTTGGACTTGTTGAATGTTTCGGGTTATTAAAGAAGTAAGGTAACTCAACCCACATTGAAGTTTCCAAGAAGCAGGATATTCGCCAAGGTGGAGATTTGTTAGGTATGGCTCATAAATATATCGGTAAAGAGGACAGGGGATGGAGCGGAGTGAGCGAAGTGAGCGAAGTGAACATCAACTGTCCTTACAAAGAAAGTCTCGTAGAGGGGGTTATGATTATGTGGGTTAGGGTTACGGGGGCACAGCCCCGCTGTACGGTACATGGTTAATTATGTAATTATGTACCAAGTTTTTTTATTATAAATAGAGATGTAACCTAAACCTATGAGAAATTGAATAAAACTTCTAGCGCCATCTAGGCACTGAGGACGTAAGTACATTGCCGAACCTCGTTAAAATTCTTGTGTTCTTTCATTTTTTTTACTCGATTCTTCAACAATGTTTTATGATAACAATATACATTATAAATATGTGCCCATAATTATGGATTTTAATCCAACAATGTCCCACTTGGGTAACATATATTTCTTGATAAATGTATAAATTTATGAACTCAAAACTTGTTACCATAGAATAGGTATTATATAGCAATCTCGTCCATACACAATATTTATATAGGATCAAAGCGACCTTTGCCATATTTATCATGACTAGATCCATCAATGGTCACATATATAAACACAGTCAAATGAAATAGATCAATCATGGAGCATGGCATGGAAATTACATGCAATGTGAACTGCACAAGTCTATTTCCAACTAGTCCTCTTTAAACATAAGTGAGGTCAGTCTTTAAACAATAAAAGAGAATGAATAAAATGAATACCTTATTTTTGATCAGAAAATAACCAAATACATAAATGTCTGAAAAACAAGCATAAGAAAATGAAACTCCAACTCAAACAATGATATCATCAAGTGATATAACACACATATGAGTAGTGTGCTCATGAAAGACCTTAGGTGTTAAACCTTTTGTTGACGGATCCGCTAACATGGAGTTTGTTCCAATGTGTTCAATGGATATTTGTTCATTTTGCACTCTCTCTTTCACAACTAGGAACTTTATTTCAATATGCTTTGACTTAGATGAGCTCCTATTATTGTTGGAATATAAAACTGTTGACTTATTGTCACAAAATAGTTTAAGTGTTCTTTCAACATTCTCCAAAATATGCAGCCCAATGACAAAGTTTTGCAGCCATATTCCATGGGTTGATGCCTCATAACATGCTATAAACTCTGCTACCATAGTGGAATAAGTTAAAAGTGTTTGTTTGGCACTTCTCTAGGATATACCTCCTCCATCTAGCATTAAGAATAAAATAAATACTAGATTTGCGAAAGCATACATAAATCCATTGTTAGAGACTACCTAGAATGTTGAGATCTTTTCAACATTATCTTATACCACTTGTTAGAACCAAGCCATAAATAAATATGAAAAACCTAACCATGATCTAATTATGTCAAACCATTAATAATAAAATAAATACTAGATTTGCGGAAGCCTACCTGAATCCATTGTTGGAGACTACCTAGAAGGTTGAGATCTTTGGATCTTTTTTTGGTTGTGATCTCCCAATAAGATAGATTCTCTTGAGTATAAAATCTCTTACGTGGATAAGAGAAAATACGAGATATCTATTTCTTGGAGACCATAACCCTTTATATAGTTGATTGAATCAGTTATTGTTTGTACTTATAACTTTGCCCCCATCGAATTATAAATACAACTTTAATAGTATCTACATTTTTATTTCCATAACATTTTTAATACCTTGTAATTTTATAACATAACTGATCACTTAATTTATTCATTTTTATGATAACAGTATATATTATAAATATGTGCCCGTAATTATGAATTTTAATCAACATTATAAGCTTGGATAGTAAAATAAAAATAAAATACAAAAGGTGATGAATCTTAAATAAAATAAAGTTGTGGCCTTACTTACCTTTATTTGAGTTAAAATAAATTTATCAAATAGGCAAGAATTGTGGTGGTGAACTTTGGCCTTCCAGTTTATAGTTACAACCAATATTCCAAAATTCCAAGACGTAATGTCTAATTGAAATTGAAAGTGGCCGGGTTAGGGTTTTTGGATTTATTAGTTTTTATAATTATCGGTATTTAAATTATTAGTTAATTAATTTAGATTAAATATTATAAATATTTATTGTGAATGTCAAGGACAAGTTAAAATTGAACTATGAGGAATTAAGTTATTTTATAAAGGGGGGTTTGGTTCAAGGAATGTGGGATTCCCATGGGATGGGAATCCCACATTCCCATGTTGGTTGGCTGGGAATCTCATCCCGGTAATGTAAGATTACCAATAGTGGATTTTTTGGGGTATATTACCGGGAATGTCATTACCTCCTTTCTTAGGTATTGTTGGATTACCGGCGTTTTGGACTAAAATGCCCTTAAATTTTTATTTTTTTTCAAAAATATATTTATTGTCATCGAATAATAAAATTTTACGAATGTTAAATTACAAATTTATCCTTAAATTATTTTAGATTTACAAAAAAAAATCTATAATTAAAATTTTATATAAAGTTCAAGGGTTTAAATAAAATTTTACCCTTTCATTAAACTTTTTTTTATTTTTAATTTGTAAATATATAAATATTATGAATTAATTTTTTAAAGAAAATATAAATATTTTCCAACTTGTAATATTACACAAATATATAATTAGGACAATTTGGCAAATATACATTCCAATAATCTTTTATTCCTTTAACCAAACACGGTATCTTACATTCCTGCTAAGCCAACCAAACACAAAATACAACATTCCCAGTAATGCTATTCCTTGGTAATCTTACATTCCCACTGGTAATCTTATATTCCGTGAACCAAACGCACCCGGGTATTTAGACATGTATGAAGCACTACAGGGGCAGAGCTCTGTTGGGCTCAGGGCTCAATCTCTGTAATTTTTTATATTAAATAGATTTTTATTTAATAATATTTTAGTTAATTTAAAAATAATAATAAAAATATTAAATATTTAGTCAGGACTAAAGAAGGACAAATTAATGTTCTCATTTTTTTTTGTCTAATAATAATTTAGGTTATTGTAAGTTTAAATATTAGATAAATTAGTTATTATCTTCTGAATTTTAAGGTTAAATATCTAATAAGCTATTAAATTTTTTAAAAAAAAAGTTTAAATTTCGGTTTGTGCCAATTTCTAGTCTTTGTTCCGTCCCTTTGAGCAGTGATTTTGAAAGTTATGGACACCTAAAACTAACTTTGACGAAATTATCAACAACCGGCGACTTTGCTTCAACTTTCTTTTTTATTGTATGCTTTTTAAGATCAAATTAAAAGAAAACATGGTAATAGGCATAATTGTTTTTTTTAAACTTGTTTGTTTTTTCAAAAAAAAAATAATTATAACAGTAATTATCAAAAATCATTTTTTGAAAAAATAATTAAATATTATTAAAAAAACAATTATGACAATAATAATATAAATATAATTAATATGGTTGTCACAAAATCAAGGCCACCAATAGGAAGGGAGGGTGGAGTTAGCAAACGTGCATGCCTTGGGATCAAAGTGTAGTCCCTAGCAACCTTATAAATAGACCTCAAAATCCCACAAATTTATGATATAAAGAGTTTGTGGCTTTGGGCTGCACTCTAAATTCCTGTGGTGGTTACTTGTTTCACATGGAAATTTAAGTGAAAGCAAGCTCCCAGGCTTAGGCTTGTTTAGTTTTTTGTTTTTTTTTTGTCATTTTTGTTACAGTAAAAGAGAATTTTGCTGGTACAATGGCGATTGATTCTGTTCATCGTCCTAAAGACGAAAAGAAAGAGGAGCAGAAGCAACTAATTTTCGATGCCTCGGTGTCCAGGCTCGTCGGCGAGGCGTGTCGGCAGCACGGTTTCTTCCTAGTGGTTAATCACGGTGTCGACTCGACACTCGTGGCTGATGCTCATAGTCACATGGATAACTTCTTTGAATTGCCGCTCGCTGATAAGCAAAGGGCTCAGAGGAAACTCGGAGAGCACAGCGGATATGCTAGTAGCTTCACCGGTAGATTCTCCTCGAAGCTGCCATGGAAGGAAACACTCTCGTTCCGGTACTCGGCCGAGAAAAACTCCTCCAACATCGTTCATGACTACCTCGTAGACAAATTGGGAGACCTATTCGAGCATTTCGGGTAAGAAATTCGGATGTTAACAACTTCACCATTAGAAAAGATGAAATGAAAACTGTTTTTCTTTGTAATAGGAGAGTTTACCAAGATTACTGCGAGGCAATGAGCAAGCTTTCACTAGGGATAATGGAGCTTTTAGCCATTAGTCTTGGCGTAAAAAGATCGAATTTCAGGGAATTTTTTGAGGAAAACGAGTCTATAATGAGGCTGAACTACTACCCACCATGCCAAAAACCAGACCTCACTTTAGGAACAGGGCCTCATTGCGATCCAACGTCTTTAACCATCCTTCACCAGGACCGAGTTGGTGGCCTTCAAGTGTTTGTAGACCAGTGGCGTTTAATTACCCCTAATCCCGACGCATTCGTCGTCAACATCGGCGACACTTTCATGGTAAAAGTAAAGTTTTTATCTATTTTCCTTTTCCAAGTGTTTCGATTAATCTCGACGGGATCTTGGTGTTTTCAGGCACTTTCTAACGGAAGATACAAGAGCTGCTTGCACCGAGCGGTGGTGAACCGTCACACGAAAAGGAAATCACTGGCTTTCTTCCTATGTCCAAAGGGAGATAAAGTGGTAACCCCACCAACAGAGTTGGTGGACGCCGCTAATCCAAGAGTTTACCCAGATTTCACTTGGCCTATGCTGCTTGAATTCACACAAAAGCATTACAGAGCCGATATGAACACACTCGAAGTATTCTCCAACTGGGTTCATCACAGAAACAGCTGAACTCGTTAAAGTTTTCTTTACAGAACAGACCATGTCTGCCAAAGAAAACGACATTGATGTACCGGTGAGACTTGAGAGAAAAAAATTGAGATTGTTTTTCCTGCTACGAGTTAAAAGGAAGACCAAAAAGGAAAAGTTGCATCTTTTTTACTCTTAGTGATGAACAAAAGGCACGACAAGGGATACTGTAAGGAAGTAAGGGAACCCAATAAAGATATCAATCAGCTTTTTTCTTCCATCTCCATTGATGATATAAAAAGGGTTATCAGTACAATTAGCTTTCTTCATGTGAGAACAAATTTAGGGTTCAATTACTATTAGTTTTTCTTTTCTTTTCTTTTTCACTCAGCAACTTCATCTACTTATCAAGCTACTAAATCCGTTTCCTAGTACCAAAACGGGACTCGATGCTGTTGAATTTTATAAGTTTTTGTGCCTATTGAAGCTTTAAACTCACTCCATTTGTGTATCAGCTTCTGGTTGCATTATTTAACTCGAAAATTATACAAATCTGTTCCTAAATCATAATGGAGGGACTTGAATCTTTTTAACCACCATTATTTTGTTCATTTTCAACAACCTTAGCCTAAGGTACATACTAGTAGTATGTTACCCTCTCATTTGATTTAGAGGGGTTACGTAAACATTGGAACAAAATATTTTTCATTATTTACCGAGTTAATTGTACAAGAGTAGGGTGGTAATTGGGTGGGAAAAATCGAAAATTGCGAGGATCCGAACCGATAGGGATGGAGAATAACTAAAATCTTTACCTATGGGGATGGGGTTGGGGGAAGTTTTATCCTCGAAACTTAAATGGGGATGGGGTGGGGATTGCTATATCTGAACTGTGGGGATAACCGAACCGTACCCGTGTGAATAACTGTGGGGATCCCAAAAAAATATTTATTAGGGATCATCGATAATTTACAAAACTTTAAAAAATATTTATAATCATTTACCTATATACCTTTAATATATATTTTAATAAAATATTATATATAATAATATTGTGAGATTATATGTTGCCACAGTTACATTTCAAATGAACTAAAATTGAAGTTTAGATATTTTTCATTTAATATATATTGATTTGTTGAGATTGAAAATGGTTAAGATTGTACATATACATTAGGTGTCAGATGAATATTGATGTTTAAAACTTTCATATTATAGATAGAGACATACTTGATACAATCTGATATGTCTTACAAGTTTTAAGTGTTACATTGATTTAAAAAATGTTTGTTTATTTTTTGAGATGAGGATTAATCGAAACCCGCATGGATTCATAAGGGATGAGTATGAGGAGAAAACAATCCTTGAAACATATAATGGGGATTCCCAAAACCGTACCCGCAATTGTTGGGGATAGAATGAATAACGCAAACCGTCCCCACCCGCCCTGTTTCCACCCCCTATACAAGAGGTCCTCAAACTATGAACATCATTTTAAGTTAGTCCTTAATTTTTAGACTATTCTATATTAGTCCACCAACAAATAAACTATATTCTGAATTGATCCCTAAACTTTAAAAATATTTGAATATCAATCCTCAAACTACTAATATCATTTCATTATGATCTTTCTATTATAATTAACTCTAGTAGTTAAAAAAACAATACTCCTGAATTTTTTAAGGTCATGAGATTTTTATGTCACAAGTTTAATTCTCGCGACCTTAAAAAATGTATTAATTTTAACCAATTGAATTAATTTCACATTAAAATATAATGATATTAGAGTTAGACTTTAGAACTGATGTAAAATATTTTGAAGTTTATGAATCAATTTAAAACAAAAAAATCATAGTTTAAGGACATCTTTTGCAGTTATCTCTCGTTTACCTACCATATCTACATTCATTATTAAGAAGGAAATAAATCCTACATGTAAAACCAATAAGTTTGTCTCGTCTGAAGTTCTTGGGCTGGCTAAGGCTGTCGAATAAATCTAAAGGAGGATCTGCCCTACCTATTGAATGATTAAGAACACCAGAGATGATAGAATCCACTGATGATTGCAGTCCTTTCACTTAAATATTGTATTCTTCTGCCAGTATATGCACAAATATCCATGCCCAGATTTCTGCAAACATGTGAAGATTTGGGGTAGTTGCAAACATTGTCCTGATGCTTGTCATTAAACACTCTGATTAGGGATAGAGTGTAGCGGATGACATTCGTCCAATAAAATTTTAAAACTTTTATATATTTTAATTTTTTTATTTATATTCTCGATTGAATTTATTTTACACTTTTATAAAATAAAATTTATAATTTCATCATTTCTTAGAATTTTATAAACTGTCCCTTAATGTAAAATTATTATCCCGGTCCCTGAACGCAACATTTTTGTGATTATAAGATGGAAACTTTAATTAGGCTAACATGATCCTTGTAGAAAAGGATATTCTCTTAGGAAAATTCTATAAAGCTCAACGGGCAACGATGAGTACCACTAACGATGATCATTATTAATTTAATTTATAAAAATTTAAATTTTAAATGACACAACGTAAAATTATAAATTACTCAAAGTATAATTATAAATTAGTTAAAATTTAAAGATAAATTATTTAAAATTAAGGGTAAACTATACTTGTGACCACCTACTATTGTCCCTTTTCATTTTGACTAATATTTTTGAAATTTTTTCAATCAGATCACTCAACTATTCAAATGCATTCAATTAAGTCACGTGTTGTTAATATTTAAAGAAGAAGTTGATGTGACAGTTAAAATATTTGGTATAATTACACATTTGGTCACTGTTACTTATATATATTTAGAGTTGGGTATATTGGCTAAGGCCCGTGGGCTACCCGTATAACCTGCGGCCCGTGCGAGATTCATGCCTCAAAAAATAAAACTCATTTAAATTGCGGACCGGTAACCCTTGGTTTAATGGCTATACTCGCGGGCTTCGCGGTAGCCCGCCTAATTTAATTAAGTCAGTGTTGTTAATATTTAAAGAAGTTGATGTGACAGTTAAATATTTGGTAATACACATTTGGTCACTGTTACTTATATATATTTAGAGTTGGGTATATTGGCTAAGGCCCGTGGGCTACCCGTATAACCTGCGGCCCGTGCGAGATTCATGCCTCAAAAAATAAAACTCATTTAAATTGCGGACCGGTAAACCCTTGGGTTTAATGGCTATACTCGCGGGCTTCGCGGGTAGCCCGCCTAATTTAATTATTTTTTACAATTTATTTTATTTTTTACGGAAGACAATTCACGTATAGCGCAATTCACGTTTTATGTGCATTTTAGCCATAGCCCAATTCACGTTTTATTTGCACTGAAATCTGAAGCCCAATTCACGTTTTAATTTGATGATATCCAATTTTGAAGTTCGAACGTATTAATTATACCTATGGTAACATATATGATAACATAAGCCAAAAAAAGTTTCCATCTTTTTATATACATATTTACCATTTATAATTAATACTATCAATATATATATAAAAGCCATAAAACGTTTATTATACTCCAATAATTAAACTATATACATATACGTTAAAAACAGAAGAAGAAAAAAACAAATCAAAGTATTAAACCATGTATAAATATAATAATTAAATTAAAAAGGTAAAGTAACATAATATGCACATATGCAAATAATATATAAAATTAGAGGCTTATTATTAGTGTCATTGGAAAAATGGAAGATTCGACTACATCCAAAGATTTAAAAAATATTGAATATTATTGATGTTGATTTTATTTAGACTTATTGAGACTTATTATTAGTGTTATTTTAAACTTATTGAGACTTAATGGTGTTATGGTGTTATTTATTTAATTGTTTATCTTGAGACTTAATAGTGTAATGAACTTTTCAAGTTGTTGGATCATTTTTAAAGGTGTAGCAAGTTAGAACATTAATTTTTATTGCATTTAAAGCATTTAAAATTGTTGTTATTTAACGGGTCGCGAGTTAGCCTGTTAGCCCGCGGGTTAAATGGTACGAGCTTTTTAAACCACTCCGTTTAAGCTCGCACCGTCCCCGCGGCTTTAAAATTTTAAAAATTCATCTCCTACCATAAAATTTTATGTTCGTCTTTAATAAAACTTTATACTGATAATATTCTCGATGGACTTAGCATGGAAAATTTTGCACTAAGAAATCGACCTATATCAAAAGGGTGATAAATTTAGTTTAATTTAAATTTAATATCATAAATTATTGTTTGAGTTATTCAATTTTTTAGAAAAAGATTTTGTTATAAATTTTGTTTTGTTATAAATATAGAATATGTCGTAACTTTTAAAATTAAAACAAACTAAAGTAAAATGTTAAACTTTAGGCCATTATACATGGAACCATTTGATTTGAGGGTTAAATTTATTTTAATTTATTAAAATTAAGACCAAATTAATAGAATATATAAGTAATAATGACCAAATGTGTAAATATACCAAAAATTTTAATTGTCACCTCAGTTTTTCTGTCAAATATTAAAGGCAAGTGGCTTAATTGAATGCATTTAAATAGTTGAGTGTCTGATTGACAAAATTTCAAAAATATTGGTCAAAATAAAAAGAGGCAATAGTTAGGTGGTCACTGATATAGTTTGTCCTTTATTTTAAATAAGTTATCTTTAAATTTTTTAACTAATTTAAAATTATATATTGGGTCATTTAGAATTTAATTTTTTATAAATTAAATTAATGGTGCTCATCACTACTTGTAAAGCGTAGAAGAATCATCCATTATCTTATTGCTTAACTATGGATCCAAAGGATGTTTAGACTTTGGTATTTCAAACGCAGCTTCACATATTTTGCCTTGCTCGTCAATAAAAATAAATACCCCACATCAGTTAATTTCTCGAGAATGTTTTCGCCTTATCATTTAACATAGAGCATGATGCATCAAAAACCATGGCCCCAACCCAAATAGAAAATCCGCTTCAAGAAAGCTTGTTTCTGTAGTGTTCATTAGGGATGAGTAAAACTCATCTCGACTCATCTTTTTTATCCGACTTAATTCGAATTTTTTTTATTTGAATTGATTTCGAGTCATAATTTCATAAAATTGACTTGAAATTTTTTTAAATAAAGTTTGAGTTATAAAATATTACTCATCAACTTGAATAACTCGAAATTTTTTTACTCAATTC